TTCAATTCGGAAAGCTTTCCTATGCTATTTATTCTTAGGTTAATAAATCTGCATACTCAATTTCAAATTTTAGAAAATTGAATTTTTTGACAATTTTAATGATGATGATTAACCCCTTATCTTTTTTTGCAAAAATGGAAAAACTGGTAAAAATTTCGATTTCTTCCAGACATGCCTAGATCGACTCAGCTGTTGATGCTGATCAAGAATATATATGATTTATAGGGTCGGAAATGACTCTTTCACTGCTTTATAAGCTTCTGACTAAAATTATAACACCATATTTTATCTATTTTTACGCCATTTTTTCCTAAAAATCAAATTTTAAAAAAATCATAACAAAGCCAAAAATGCTTAAATTTGAATTCCGAAAACTGTACCGAGCTAGTTTTTATCTCGTTAACAAATTTGCATACTCAAAGAAGATAATTTGAAAATGGAAATGACTGAAATTATAATCCCATTCTTTGAGTAGGTATTTTTTACATTTTTATGCCAATTTTTCCTAAAAATCAAATTGAAAAAAACTCATAACTTAGCCAAAAATTCATTAATTTCAATTCGGAGAGCTTTCCTATGCTAGTTTTTATTGGGTTAATAAATCTGCATACTCAATTTAAAATGTTAGAAAATTGAATTTTTTGACAATTTTAATGATGATGATTAACCCCTTATCTTTTTATGCAAAAATGGAAAAACTGGTAAAAATTTCGATTTCTTCCAGACATGCCTAGATCGACTCAGCTGTTGATGCTGATCAAGAATATATATGATTTATAGGGTCGGAAATGACTCTTTCACTGCTTTATAAGCTTCTGACTAAAATTATAATACCATATTTTATCTATTTTTACGCCAATTTTTCCTAAAAATCAAATTTTAAAAAATTCATAACTAAGCCAAAAATGCGTTAATTTTAATTCGGAAAGCTGTCCCGAGCTAGTTTTTATCACTTTAACCAATTGGCAATCTCAAAGAAGATAATTTGTAGATGGAAATGACTGAAATTATAATCCCATTCTGTGAGTAGGTATTTTTCACATTTTTATGCCAATTTTTCCTAAAAATCAAATTGAAAAAACGTCATAACTAAGCCAGAAATTAATTAATTTCAATTCGGAAAGCTTTCCTATGCTAGTTTTTATTAGGTTAATAAGTCTGCATACTCAATTTAAAATGTTAGAAAATTGAATTTTTTGACAATTTTAATGATGTAACTAACCCCTTATCTTTTTTTGCAAAAATGGAAAAAACTGGTAAAAATGTCGATTTCTTCCAGACATGCCTAGATCGACTCAGCTGTTGATGCTGATCAAGAATATATATGATTTACAGGGTCGGAAATGACTCCTTTACTAACTACAAGCTTTTGATTAAAATTATGGTACCCTGCAAGAGTATTTAAGACTTCTTCAGGGTCTAGGGTAAATTAAGGGGAATCTGTTTTCAATGAAGATCAAAGGCTTCAGCAACTAACTCCAGTTGGGGGTCAATTCAGACACATAAAGTCTGACATCCGCGTTGACAATTAGCAAGTGTTTTTGGTCAAAAAAAAAAACCGAAAGTAATATACGATATATGAGTAAGCATCTCCATTGCATTTATTAATTGTTGTTAACCAAAACAGACAAGAAAAATAAGTCACCATTCGACGCGACGCTGAGATCACATGAGACTTCGAAATCGAAACCGAAACCCAAAAGCAAGCAAACAACTTTTGGTTCGATGTTTTCTTTAGTTAGAGCTTTGGGGCTTGGTTCCTGTTACTATATTATCTATGTGTATAGTATGCAGAGTCAAGATTAGCATTAAGCACGTGATGCCATCTCTTGTGATGCCATTTTTTGAGCGGAAAAACATTTCTGGTCAGTGGCCACTGCCATGGAGTCACATCCATTTCGCTTGCAATTAAGCGGCGAGTGGCCGCTGAAATGGTCGTTTAAATGTAATTTAAGCTTGCTTTTTTGTTTTGTTCAACTTTTTGGAGAGGTGACAAATTAAGGCCCCCCGTGCAAGGTCATGTGAGGGGCGTCCATTAGCCATGAAAGCCAACGCTGAAGGGGCAGGCCAGCAACAACACCAACGACACTGGCTGCACATCTGAAAAACGTAAAATGTCGCGGCAGGCGCTGATTGATTGGAAAGCTGAGGGATATCTATCATCATAATCATCACCATCGGGGCATCGGGGCATCGAAATGAGGAAAACATAATGCCAGCTAATGTGAGATTATGCAAATCAAAATGCGCATCTTCAGCTCTCGATAAATACAATGACCTGTTTGCCTCCGGCTCTGGGCAAAATCAACTCAACACAAATACACTATTTCTTTTTGGGATTTTTACTGATAAAATTATTCCGAAAAAAAAATTAACACAAAAAGGTGGAGATCTCACCCTCAGAATGCACTTTCTACAAGGGAACATGTTTACGATGTTTTATGTTTTGTTTTTATGTTTTTTTCGAGTTGTTAACGCTTCAAGGAGGTTGTCTTACAAGTGTCACGAGTTGTTTACAATTTGGATTTTTAATGTGTGGGAATTTATTGAATTTTCGTTTTATTTTTTACCTATGTGGATTGTGTTTACCAACGTATATTTTGTTATTATTTGATTACCTAAATTGAGAGTCTATAGTATCAATTAATTGGTGATCGAATACAGCCGATGTTTAGTGCCTTACAGAAGTCTAAAGTTGCTTGCAACTCGAGTTTTAATAGGTTTGGAATGTTTTAAATATTCAATATATATTAATATTTTCTAGTAATTAATTATTTATATTAATATCTTGGATTTTACCGCTGCAGGGTATGTAAATTTTGGTCAGAAGCTTGTTACGCTGGGAAAAAATCATTTCCCACCCTATATATCATATATATTCTTGATCAGCATCAACAGCTGAGTAGATCTAGCTATATGCGATAAATATTTAATTTTTTCAAAATTTTCAAAATTTAACAAGGGGTTTATTTAATTTTTTAAAGTTTTAAATTGAGAATGCAGATTTATTGGCTTTTACAAAACTAAAATTGAAATGCTTTCTGAATTAAAATTAAAGCTTTTTTGGCTTAATTATGAGTTATTATAATACTGATTTGTCGAATAAATTGTCATATGCGAATACCTTGTATTACTTCGGTACTTCGAAGTAAGTTTTCATTGTTGGTTATATAGTTATTGTAGGTGAAACTGGGTGTTTATATTTTCCATAGAACTAGGCTAGTTAATGCTTAGTATGTGTTAAAAAATGTTAGGGAATTCCCCCACTGGTTATATTTCGTATTCTTGGTAAATCCGTGCTAAAATTCTACTAGTAATCTTAGTCAGAATTATTTAAATTAATAAAATGTTGTGACTCATTTTGAAATATTGTAAAATATAACCGGATTTTTGATAGACACTTGTCCTTTGCAATGCAAATTTCTCTGCACCCGAAGATTATGTATACCTATAATTCGAAAGGTGTCTAAATAATTTCAAGTGACTTCAATTAGCAATTCAAGAGTCTGATACCTACACCCTTTGTTTATTTTTATTTTTTTTATTTATTGGCTTATGGGCAAAGCCTCCTTTTTGATGACATTTAGCTGTCCAATTTATGGCTGCTCGACATGCGCCACCTGTCTGCGCTGTTTGCTTGGCATTTTAGCACTCGGCCACTAACCGAATTGTTTGGCCAAACCATTAACTTGGCCAAGACAGCTACACTTTTTTGTTGTGTCTGGAGGTCGCGGGGGATGCCCTATCGCTGATATGCTGCATTTCGATTTCTAATTCAGACTTACAGAGAGAGAAAAAGAGGAATGGAGTATTACCCCAATTTTAATAAACTCAAATTTAGTTTTATAGAAGCCTTAAAGACTTATGTATTCGATACTTGATTACTATATATGGCAGGAAATATATTTCTTTCTGTGTACATAGATGGAAACCGAAGGCACTTTGGCGTTTTGCCCAATGGCAAGACCTTTGCAGCTGGGCTCGGAATCTGAATCTGAATCTCAGACTGGAATTGGAACTAAGACTGGGTCTGGGGTCTGGGAATGGGTTTGGATTTGGGGTCTGGGCACCGGCACTGGGGCTCTGGGTGCTTACATCACAGCAGGAGTCTCAAGACCCGAGACTCGTCTCACAATGGGATGAAACTTGTTTCCACTCGACTCTTTGAAAGCCGTAAATATTTGCCTCTTCACTCGGGTTTTTATTTCTTCTTACTGTTGGGCATCTTCTTTTTTTTGGGAAGCAGCTGCTGCTGTGCTTATTTATTTTTGTTTCTTGTGCAAATTACAAAAATAGTAAGAGAGACACAAAGCGCGTGACTCCTTTCACAAGATGCGATTTGAAATCAAAAGTGCAGACAAAAGGTGTCAAAAAAAAAAGGAAAATAAAAATAAAGCGGCATGCCAAAGTTGGCCAAAAAATTGCCTCTGACCGCAAAGCGAAACAAAAGCGTGATTTTTGGCCTGGATTGTGTTACCCTTTTCTGGTCAGTGTGCACCGAGGGAAATTTGATTTTTGGACGTGTATTTCATATTTTTATTAACTTTTTTATTAGTAGTCACCTTAATATTTGATATTTAACTTTTAGTAACATAAATATTTCACTATAATAATAATAATAAATAATAATAATTCCGATTTCTTATTGATTCCGATGGCTTTTCCTTATATATTTTTCTCAGTGCATTTGTGTACTGTTTGTACCCTGACCCATGCTGGGCAGTGTAGCGTTTTTACTTTCTCCCCTGGGAGAGCGTGGTCTTGGCCCGGAGAGCGAGTGAGCCGGAGATCGAGCGGCAGAGAGAGAGCGAGCGGGAAAAGAGCCGGTAAAGCTCCGTCTGCGTTACCGGTTTCGCTGCGGGGCTAAGCTTGGATCTTGGCTTACAGCAGATCCGTTTCGGTGTCTGTGTTTTGCGGCCCTGCCTTTTAAGCCCGGTCTGCTGGCCGACAGCTTTCAGATACGTTTTTGCCTCTGCCGCGTTCAGAGTCAGAGTCAGAGTGTGGCTTTGGGTCTGGAAAAGATCTTGGCATCGGTTTCGGTTTCGGTTTCGGTTTCGCTTCGGTTTGGTCCCGACTCGTTTTAGCGGCCAAATCAGTTCGTTGGCGCGTTCACACCGATCGAGTCGTGTGAAACGCACAGGAATCGGTTTTTCTATCCCCATTTCCGTGGCCAAGATAGGCTCGTCGCTGTGCTATTCGGGTCAATGCTGTGCTCTGCATTGCCAACGTTATGCTAATTACCGAAAGGATACAAATCATAGCATACATCATCGGTTACAATCTCTTTGGCAAGGCTCCGTCGCAGTCGTCCACTCGCTGGTGATAAATTCCTCGCCCAGCGGGCACTCACATCCGAGAGATTCAGCCAGGAGAATTTAGATAGAGCAACCCACACACCCACATATATACAAATATATTTATTATATACTCGTGTCAATCAACAAATTCGCAAAACGTGCCAAATATAATTTAAACCTATTTATTTTGTTTAACAAAGAGCTAATAAGTCTAACTATATAAATTAGTAAGTCGTTTAATTTAAAACAAATAAGAGAACCTCATAAGAAAGTTGCCGCAGGAGCAGCCCTCTGCTTCAGCATGAAGAAGCAATCAATGCTGTTTAGTTTAATTCTATGGTGAGTTTTATTGCATTCTTAATCTTAGTCAATTAAATAATTTGTAAAGTTTTAATGCGTGCTGTGTGTGACTGAAACAATTAAAGTGTGAAGAATATATTGACTTTAGAGACTTTGTTTGCTGTTTAAACAATATTCTTTTATAGTTTGTTAATTATTTTGTAATATTTTTCATCTTAATAAATAAGTTATTCAAACTCAAATTTATGTGCCTTAGCACTTTTGCTTGCTAATATGTAAATCTAGCATAAAACATATTGCGACCTTAGAAACAAGTTTTAGATTTTGGCATATAATTCCGAAGGTGGGTTAAGCTGCATTTACGACTTTATTTATGCATTAGCTCTGAGCCTAACTACAAAACGCAGATGGCCATTGAGGCAAATTATAGTTTGTAAGACAGGCGAATACGCTTTAACCTGGCGTCATTAATCATTAATTTTCCTCAACGAACTGAGAAACAACAAGAAGCGCCAACGGAAGTCGCAGATTGACAGATTCAGTCAGGTTATCACTTCCCCTATTTCGCTGGTCCTTGAGGCAGCATTGAAATGGAGAAATAAAAGAAATAAATGTAGATAATTTGGACAAGAATTTGCATTATGACAAAGACGTGAAATTTATTCAAGCTATGAATATTTATGGGTCGGTGGTGCGATCATGTAATATCGATATTCGAATTGGATTTCTTTGCTCAGCGACCGAGATGAAAAATCAATTTTTAACCCGAACTTTGAAGCTGAAGCTGACAAGTTTCACTTTCATTTTTCACCCGGCTCTCTTGGCCTGGGAAGATGCCAACAATCGAAGAGAAAAAGCCACGGCGAGTTGTCAGCAAACAAAAGAGTCTTTTCGCTTTTTACGAGTGTATGCCGTCGTGCCAGGTGGTGATTTTTTCCGTTTTTTATTTTTATTTTTTTGGAACGATTACACAATCGTGACTTTATTTTCGTTTTCAGTCCGCGCTCGCTCTGGCTGGTTCGTGTTAACCGCATTGACATAATTTCCAGCGTAGGCATCCCAAAAGAAAACTTTACATAATTCGGCGGCAGGCGTAGCCGATTTATAGGCCTGCAATTAATCTATCCGGATGATGGGCCCATCATCAATACGACGATCGCCGCCAGATCTCCGCCAGACTCCGGTCTTAATTAACAGATTCCGTAAATCTAGCAGGCGGCCGCTAAGTGTAGAAAGTTTTTCTCCCCACACTGGCTGCCTGCCTGCCTGGTCGCATTAATTTGGCGCTTTGTGTTAATCAGTGTGTGTAAGTTATGCAAATGGGAACCCTAACTCAGAGCTGCTTATGCAATCTGCGTTGGATAATCTGCCCGGAATTTGGATCTGGCGGCGACTCCGATCCATTCCGATCCGATGCCAGGCGAGGCCTTGGCCGCCGCCAGCGACTTCTTTGGCTTAGTCATGCGGCAAACATATTCAATCGAATTCTGTGCTGGCTTCAAGTCCACCCCTGCCCAGAGTGCAGCCGAGCAAGCCGACTGCGTCGACTGAGCGCTGACATTGTCTAGTTGACACACTTAAGTCACTTAAATCCAACTCGTGGAATTCTTGCTAAAAGTTGCGTCGAGTGTTTTACAGCATACGAACATTTTGAACACTCTTTTGACATTTTTTCATTGACTCGCGCACACTCGGCGTCAAGGCTTTGGCTATTCGCCCCCTAATGCGATGTCAACGCGGAGGCTCACCGCCGGCTCACTGGCACACAAATTTATTTTATTTTTGTTATAATTATGATTTTTTGCAAAGCCGAAAGGTATTCGGGGGCGAAGTGGAGCAGTGGCGTGGGTCGTACTACTGATGAAACGAAAGACTTAGGCAACGAACTTGATTTGACACTGAGGCGCATCGACGACAGCAATGCGGATGTGGGCTGTAATTATAAGAATAAGGAGAAGATTAAAGCAATAACAAGGGATAGCAAAGATTAAAGTATAAATATATATGGTTTATAGGGTCGAAAATGATTCCTTCATAGTTTTACAAGCTTCTAACCAAAATTATAAAACCACTCTGCAAGGGTTAAAAATACTTATAAAATATCTTCTGAGCTTCAAAAGTGTTGTTCTTTACTCCTAATCGTTTGATCAGACAACAGAACAACTTCTTTTTGGCAAAAATCTTGGCATAATGGCATAATTTTTCTTTTTCCGACATTCAATTTCAACCGAAATATTTGGTTTCTTGGCCAAAGCTCTCCCATCATCATTTTAGTGTTCTGGTTGCGATTAATCCACTTCAGACACCCATTTATTAGCACCCAGCAGCTGGCAGAGAGGAAAACCGAAATTTAGACTAAAACTGGCGCCGCCTCTTCTATCTCAATGTTGTTTTTAAACTTTTTGCTGGCTAGAACTGCTTAAAAATCAATTAGCCAGCGTGTATATGATAAATAAGTAATTAACTGACCAAACAGAGTGGCGAGTTCAAGGCTGAAACCGAAACCAAAAATTCTCTTGGTCGAGAATACGCTGTTTTGTGTATCTTTTTTATGTGTTTTTGTAATTTAATTTGCAAGTCTTGCCCGTCTTTAGGTGGTCCGTCATTTATCATATTTATTTCCAACGTGTTTCGAGACACGTTTCTGATTAATGCCCGAGTCTAATATATTGACTAATTAATCATCCGATTGTCTGGGCTGGAATCTCCGAAAGTCGCTCAGTGAAAAGTTGAATAACCGCTAGGCAAAGCCAAGAACTCCTTTTCTTCCTCGGGTTTCTTCCTGGTGAAAGGCAATTATAACATGTTATGTTATGTTATGTTGAGAGATCTTTAGATCTCCGCAGTGGTTGACCCTGAGGAGAGCATGCATAACGCTGTCGTTGGCCAACTTCAATTCCAATTCCAATCCCAAGTGATTCCATAAATCAAGAAGCCGTTGCTCAACTTGTTTCCAACTTGGCCAAGAATATTCAATCCGCACAAATATTTCTGATTTCTGCGAGTGTCCACTCCGTCCTGTCTGACCACTTCTGCACCAAAAAACGGGTTAACCCGAAAAATAAATAAAAGTACAGCCAATATGCACAGTCGCTAAAAGCTAAAGATCGAGAAAAAATCTAAAAAAAAAGCGGGCCGTCAATTGTCTTTTTTTCTGTCTCCCTTTCTATATACACCAAAAAATGTGACACAATCAACCACAAACATATATGAAATATATATACCCGTGTATACATCTTGTTTACGACTGGTTTATTTGGGTTAAAAAGAAATTTTCGAGCTCTTCTCTTTTCCAAAAAACGGTACAAGGCATCTGTGAAAAAAGGAAAATAAGAAGAAAGATGAAGCTGAAAGTGAAATCAACGACGTAATCAACTTCAGCAGGATGAAGTGGCCAACAGGCTTGACTGGGGCCACGTTTTTGAGTAATTTTTTCGTCCGACAACGGAACTAAATATTTGTTAATGTGCCAAGCTCTTCATTTTGAAGCTTAAAGAGCCTTTTCAGGTCTTTATTTTTTTTTCATTTTTTCAGTTTTTGACACTTGGCGGCTTCCGTCATTTCAAGGTGCTGCAACAGGTTGCCTTTTTACATAAGTCGCAAGATGAGGATGGAAGTGTTTATTATGATGGAAATGAAAATGGAAGAAGAAAGCATTGGCACTAATTCGCTATTTAAGCATAGTTTTAATATAAAATCTTTCTAAAGTCTTACTTAAATTTAACATAATATATTTCCAGAATATTTAATGGGGTATCACAATCATAAACCATATTATATTATAGCCATTTTTAGCTATATTTCCCCTGCTCTTCAGCATCACATAATTTGGGATATTTATCTCAATTTGCATATCCAAAAAAGACCCCAATTCACTTTCTCACATTTCACTTGTAAATTGATTTCACAGCTTTTGGCGGCTGCCCTTAAAGAAATGCTCAAATTACACAAAACCCACACCTGGGTGCGTTTTCAAAATTTCTGGTAAATTATCCCGCAATTTCAAGGTGATTATATCGCTGTTTTCAGCTTACAAGAGCCATTTAGGGAACCCTAAACATGGTCTTAATGCGGGCTAGCCTTTTCACTTGCCGAAATGGTCTTAAAAGGGGGTCAAAGTGGTTGCGGCCGGCTGTCGGCGACCTTGGTGGCCGTAACCGACTGCCATTTGATCGCAAAGAAATGGTAAAGCAAATGAAAATTGCACTCGAACCCATTGCCAGTCAGAGTCCGATTTGCATGCAGGCCACAGCCTTGAGAGAGAGACACCACACTGTCTTGGAATTGTTTACCAATATCAAGTTGTATGCACTTTCGCAATGAAAACGAAAGTTAAATGCTCGCCGGTGTGTTGGTCGGTGGCTCGGGCGCGTGACTTTGCCAGCGTTTACACTTTCTTGCCATAAAAAGCAGCCATAAGGCCCCATGGGGACTGGCATGTATGTAGAATTATGATCTTCACGCCTCTTGGTTTGCGTCCAACGTTCAACAGCTGCAACTGCAACAGCAGCCGGTTTACACCAGTGGCGTAGTGACCAGAAAATATATACATATGTATATTCCAGACTAGGTTTATGGAGAAGACAAGGCTAAGGCTATAAGGAAATGCACTTGTGAAGAGTCATTTGAAATTGTTATGGAAAGTGATCCAAGGACGTATTTTGAACCCCCCTCGAGGTTAATTCCCCCCTATTGCAACCCTGGGCCACAGACTTGGCAATGTAACCAATATTTCGAAGCCACATCGAGGAACGTCACTGAGAAAAGACGAGAGGCAAGAGATGAAAAAATTGCATCATGGCTGGCAGCATTTGACGTTGATGTCGGCCCATGATCATCACTGCAACGATCGTTGTATGCTAATGAAGTGCACTTGAAAATTTTCTCTTGAGTCGGCCCGTTTCTTGAGCAAGTTGCCTCATCCTTCTCGGCACTCGTAAATCCATCCTGCACCACAGAAGTGGAATGTGTCTGGGCATAATGTATTCAATCACGAGTATTTCCCTAACCTTTTGTCTACGGCTTACTCCAAGCGCTCCATTGTGTAATGCTCAGAGCCCAGAAACCGACTCTGTAATGAACATGACAAAGAAACAGCCGCAACGTGAAACAGAAAATGTGTTGTTTTATGTTTTGGGGAGTGTATAATGTGTTGATCACATCACCATCACATTCGAGAGCTGAGTTTGTTAAAATATTAAGGAGGTTTGTGCTGCAGTTTGATAGTTATTAAATTGTAAGCCATATGATCTGGCAGTATTTTTGACACTTTATATTTACTTCAACTCGGTGTGTTTTATTTGTTTTGACCTAAACAACCTTTGATGTTATTGATTTATATATTCTTCCTGTGGAAATGTGCAATATTTCTTGAAAAATCCATTAATACCGGTCGCTTAAATTTGATTTGAAGTTGAATAATAGGATCAAAACGAAAATATATCAGCTTTAAGCATAAAATATTCGACACAGCTAGATTGATTCAGCTGTTAATGCTGATCAAGAATATATATGCTTTATGGGGTCGGGAATGATTCCTTCACATCGTTACAAGCTTTCGACTAATGTTACAATCCCCCATAAGGGTATAAATATTGGAACAGTTTGAGTATCAAGCACTCAAGAAGAGTATATAGAAATCCCCTTTGGCTACAAATACTTTCGCTTTCTTGTTTTTTTCCAAGCATTTCTGGTAGTAGTGGCTGCTGGTGTCGGTGGTATTACCACTGTTGGCAACGGTGTTGGTGGTAGGAAATCATGTGCAAAGTCACATGACGATGACGCTACGTGCCGCCGGAGTAATTGCAGCAAGACATGGATGCCAATTGGGTGTTGCCAGCGGCGAGTGTGTGTCTATACATAAAGATGGTCAGGCGGATGGCTATGTACTACATATATATATGTATACGTATTCAGGCATCTGTATAGTGAGAGTGTTGATAATGAAAACGACGACGTCAAACGGTCGAAGGCATGAGTACATCGCATACCAAACACTCGATGGCTTCCGTAATTTTTGTGTGCCTGTTTGTTGTTTCTAATTATTATTAATAGAGCTGGTGGTGGGTGGGTGCCACAGTAACCCATTTGGGGTAGCAGCTCACTAAGCTGCCCGAATTGCCACAGCCGCCACTGCTGTGTGTGAGTGTGTGTTGCTGCATGATTTGGCAATTGGCGGCAATTGGCGTCAAGTTTGTTGCCTCAGTCTTTTGTTTAGCGATTGCGCAAACTCGATTGCGGGTGTTCAGCGACTTCCATTTGCACTCCCCAGCACTGTGTGTGCGGTGTGTATGCTTATCTAAGGCCACTTTAGCTCGTGAACAATTAATTCGTGACTCTCGATCTCGCCTCTCCCGGCTACCGAACCATCGGCACTTGCAAATCGAACATAAATCGAACATAAGGCTTATCGCAAATATATATGCAAATGCAAGCATAATCGCCTTCAGCCATACTTATTAAATAATACCCATTTAACAATGATAAATTGCAAGCAATTGTTCGCCGGTCCACTGATGATAAAGTATGCCTTATGCAAGCCCCTCTTTATACAACAATTATTTAGGATTGACACGCGTTCATCAGCAGTAGATCCGAGGAGCAACTGGTTTTACTTGTTGGCAATAATATGGCAATTGGTATTTTTACAGTTCTTACTCACGTGTTTTGTAATGGGCAATCGATCTGTAAACAAAATGCAAATGCTTCAGGAGTATATAGTATATTAATAATATAATATCGAAACCCAACAACCCTGAGATCTTCGATATGACCCATAATCGAGTGCGAACTTTTTACGAGGAATTTGACTCGTCGAAGTTCTGAGAAGAAATTTCCATACTGGCCGCCTGGCGTTTCCGTTTTTGCCAACCAGTCAGCTGAGCCGCGTTACTCAAATCAAAATGTCAAATGCATTTGGCCAAAAACGAGTTAAGCTCTTAACTCTTTGAAAATTCCCAAAAACCCCAAGTGAAGAGCTTCCGTTTTGCCCACACAAACTTTCCTTTCCTTTCCTTAATATTTGATTTATTTAATCGCTGCACCATTTGGCGAACGACGTTCAATAAAAAATAAAAAATAATAGAAATGCCAACTATTGGATGTCATAATGCTGTTAAATAACGTATACGCCGCGTGTGCCGTGCATTTCTATTTGCGGTTTCGACCGTCCGTCCGTTTGTTTTGTTTTGTTTTGTTTGTTGTGGCTTTTATGGGTGCCATCATGACACATATTTTTGCATGTTCAGGCACCAGCCAATAGCCACAGGTGACATAAATACCAGCATAAGAGGCACAAACAAACGAATGTAAATGCTCGAGCTACTTCTCTGCTTTCGCTTTTAGATAACTTACTTATATATTTGTTTATTTATTTATTTACAAGTTAGCGAGATACGTGAGTAATCGGGTTCTGCTGTAAGTTAAGTTATGTGTGTACTCACCTGAAGCAGTTACCTGCATTTGTATTGGCCAATGGAAACCCAATTAATATAGATTACCAATTATTTCTGGCATTTCTATTCATTACTTATTTCGCTTCGCTAGGTGTGAATCCAATGTAATAGCTTGACCCAAATTACCTGCATTTGAGCAAAAGTAATATTGGTAACCGAGATTTCACCACTAAGATATGGCACACCCGCAAAGAGCACATTTCCATAATGATGCCAGACGTTTCCTTTGCTTTGTTCCGCCAGAAATAGATTTATGTGGCTCTTGAACTCTGACAAACATAAGTGGTTATCTCGCATCTCAAATCATTAAAAATCGACACCAGACAATAGCCTTGAATATATCGTCTAAACAAGTCGAGCGGAATACCACAAATTACGTTAAACTTTTAAACAAAAATATATACGTATGTGTATATAAGTCGATAAAATAAGCAATTAAATTGAAACCAGAAAGGCAAGTCGGGGAAGTTCTCCAAAATTTATGTAGGGGAAGGTGAGGACGATTACCCAAACATTTTAGCGAGCTCATTAGGCGGATTCTAAAGCGGATCTTCAACGCCCACATCCACATATCAGAAATCTAAAAGAAATACTGCAGGCTGTTGCATAATCTTCGGTCTTGACGTCAATTGCGGAGTCTCCGGTGTTGACAAAAGACTTCAATTCAGAAAATTAATGTCAATGCAACGTCGCAAAAGAAACTCCGTCACGTGACGCGGGCCAAAATCTTTAGAAAAACCAAAGAACGGGCATAATGATGGTGCTTAATAAGCTATAGTCAGTCATTCAATCCCTCAGTCACTCAGTCAGTCAGTCAGCCAAAGCCTTTTGGGGGCAGTCATTGTTCATAATTCGAAATTGATTAGTTCGACACACAGACTCACATCCGGTTAGCCAGAAAAGCTCTGAGACTTACGAGGCGTATACTCCCCTACTTTATACTGTGTTTTAGTACACACATTTGTATACATACCTTCATTCCATAGGCAAATCCGTAGGTTTTTATCGCCGCTTCGTTTTGCCTCGTTTAATTAACAGTGTAAGCAAACGACGGCAATGTGAGAAAAGCTTGTAATTAAATGCCGGGAAAATGCACACAGCCCGCGAGTTCATGAATGAAAAAATGAAACGGAGACTATATCGTGTGAATTATAAACACGTGGGTTAAACCGAAATTATAATAGAAATAAATAGGAAAAACCTGGGGAAAGTTTTTGGGTAAAGCCAAACAGCATGGCTTTAAACTATACATGACTAAACCTTTAATATAGGCAATATAAAATATGGTAGAGTCTAAGTTTCTGGTTCTATATTTGAATGATTTGATGATACAGCTTAACTGTATTGTTTACAGTTAGTTTGTAGCCTTGCAGGGTACCATTATTCTAGTCAGAAGCATTTTACCCTGTGAAGGAGTCATTTCAGACCCTATAAATCACATATATTCTTGATCAGCATAAAAAACTGAATCGATCTAGCTTTGTCCGAGAAAAATTTAATTTTGGAAATTTTATAAGGGGTTACATCATTAAAATTGTCAAAAATTGGCCAAAAATTACATTTCTTGAAATTGTAAATAGAGTATGCAGATTTATTAACCTAACAAAAAATAACATAGGATCGGTTTCCTAATTAAAATTAATGCATTTTTGGCGTAGTTATGAGATTTTTAAACATTGATTTGTCGGAAAAACTGTTATACAAAAATATCAATAAATATTTATAAAAGGAATCCAAATATTTTGTTTAGTTTAAATAAATAAATCTTAAAATTAATATACCATTTCTCTCAAATTTCCAGGTGCCTTTGTGCCCCCAGTCTTAGCCTCCGTATCCCCGAAGACCTCGAGAATGCCTCCATCAATGCTCTGCGCTCCGAGCGTGCCCGCTCCCTGACTCCATGCGACTCCTCCTCCACGTCGGAGGGCAGTGTGGCCAACGAGTACGACGTGTGCCCTCCGAGCAAGTACCGCCAGCCCACCGCCGAGTGCAACAATGTGTCGCACAGGAAGTGGGGCGCCCGCGGCGACATCTTCCAGCGCCTGCTGCCGGCCGACTACGCCGACGGAGTAAGCCAGCCGAGGAGCTCGCGGGGCACCCACGCCCTGCCCGACGCCGAGCTGGTCATCGAGCAGCTGCAGCGCCATGTGGAGAGCGAGCTGCGACATCCCCACATCACTGCCATGCTGCCCGCCTGGGGCCAGCTGCTGGCCAACGACCTGGTTGAGGTGGGGCAGCTGCCGATCTCGGGCAGGTGCTGCGAACGCGACTCCGCCGTCAAGGATCCCAGCGAGCTGCAGCAGTGCTTCGTTCGGGCGGGACCCGACTGCAAGGAGTACAAGCGATCCGCGCCCGGATTCGATGCCGAGGCCTGCCAGAAACGTAAGAGATGGAACAGAAAATGACCAAGATCCTGCAGTGCTAAGAACCTGCTTCCTTTTTACAGACACTCGCCAGCAGATGAACATCGCTTCGGCCTACATCGATGGCTCCGGACTCTACGGCTCCACGCGTCACGAGTTCGACCAGCTGCGCACCTACATCAGTGGCGGCGTCAAGGTGGAGTCCTGCAAGTTCTGCCAGGCGGCCGGCGCCACCGGAGCTCTGCATCGCGCCCTGCTGCAGCAGCACAACAACATTGGCGAGCAGTTGGCCCACATTAACCCCGAGTGGTCCGAGGAGGACGTGTTCCTGGAGGCCAGGCGCATCATCACGGCCACCATCCAGCACATCACCTACAACGAGTTCCTGCCCCTGGTTCTGGGCCAGGAGACCACCACCGCCAAGGAAGGCCTGCGCCTCACCGCCGAGAAGCATGCCAGCAACTACTCCAGCTCCGTGAGGGAGGAATCTACAACGAGTTCGCCACCGCCGCCATGCCCGCCTTCTGGAGCATGTACCCGCCCGAGATGCTGGCCAAGAAGATGTCCGCCCACGAGCTCCTCTCCATTCCCGCCCTGCAGAAGTCCCTGGTTCCCAGCCAGATCAATGCCGAGGGTTGGTCCGAGCTGGCTCTGGCCGTTCACCGGGGTCGGGATCACGGCGTGGCCTCCTATGTCCACGCTCTGGACCTCTGCGACCGCCGTTTCGCTGATCACGGCGCCTCCAATGTCAGCTTCGATGCACTCAGTCAGCTGTCCAAGATCCCCGAGGAGTACATCACCAACCTGCGTGAAATTTACCAGTGGGTTTTTGCTCTTCAATTATTATTTAAATTGGTTTTAATTGGTTTTCCTCCTTCAGAAACGCTGAGGACATCGATCTGCTGGTGGGCGCCCTTCTCGAGGAGCCTGTGATAGGCGCTCTCTTCGGACCCACCATTAGCTGCCTGCTGACCCTGCAGTTCGAGCAGTTGAAGCAGACGGATCGCTTCTGGTACGAGAATGAGATTCCGCCCTCATCCTTCACTCTCGAGCAGCTGAAGAGCATTCGCCAGACCTCGCTGTCTGGACTACTGTGCGGCTCCCATCAAGTGAGCACCGCCCAGTCCAAGGCCTTCATTCTGGAGGATAACTACTTGTGAGTGAGACCCTGGAGCTATATATAGAGACAGATCTCCATGTAATCCCTATTCACTTACAGGAACTCTGTTTTGGACTGCGAGCAGCTGCCAAAGTTCGATCTGAAGGCCTGGCAGGTGAACCCCGAGGATGAGGTGCATGTGGAGCATGTGGAGGTGGAGCCAGCCACCAAGGAGGCCATTGCCGAGCTGAGTCCCGAACTGATCGAGGCCGCTGTGGAGCGGGCCAAGCAGGAACTGGAGGAGCGCAAGCGTTTCGAATACGAAGTATGGCGCACAAGTAAGTTTTCTATCGAAAATATAGCCTTCTTTTTACCCAACTTATAAAGGAAGCTTTATTAATAAATTCTCTTCTTCTCCACCACAGAGGGTGGCATCAGTGCCCGCTCCCCTGATGGCACAGCCGCCTCCTTTAGCAAGGCCAACTTGGCTGCCCTGAACCTGGCCAACTCCTCGCTGATCTTCGAGCTGACCTCCAATGAGATTGTGAAGACCCTGAACCATATTACGCGGCGCAAGCGTCAGATCTTCAATCCCAACCAGAATGCATTCAATCGCAACGAACTGACCGACACCCTGCAGACAGTGGACATCAGTGGCCTGCTCGGCGGAGCCCAGAAGCCACAGGACGGATGTCCAGAGCCCAACACCGCCTGCGATGCCAACTCCCCCTTCCGCACGCTCTCGGGCAGGTGCAACAATCTGAGGAATCCCAACTGGGGCAAGTCGCTGACCACCTTCTCCCGCCTGCTGCCCGCCCAGTACGAGGATGGAATCTCGGCGCCTAGGGTCACCGGGGTGACGGGAACACAGCTGCCCAACCCGAGGACCATCTCGACCACGATCCACCCGGATATTTCCAACCTGCACACCCGCTACTCCCTGATGGTGATGCAGTTCGCCCAGTTCGTCGACCACGATCTGACCCTCACGCCGATCCACAAGGGCTTCCACGAGTCCATTCCCAGCTGCCGTGCCTGCAACTCCCGCCAGACGGTGCATCCCGAGTGCAATCCGTTCCCGGTGCCCGCCGGCGACTTCTACTATCCGGAGGTGAACGTGACCAGCGGGGAGCGCTTCTGCTTCCCGTCGATGAGATCCCTGCCGGGCCAGCAGTCGCTGGGACCGCGTGACCAGATCAACCAGAACACCCACTTCCTTGACGGCTCCATGGTCTATGGAGAGACGACGTGCCTCTCGAACAAGTTGCGTGGCTTCTCTGGACGCATGAACAGCACCCAGCTGAGAGGCAAGGAGCTGCTTCCGCTGGGACCCCACCCCGAGTGCAAGTCCCGCAACGGTCTGTGCTTCCTGGGCGGCGATGACCGCGCCTCCGAGCAGCCAGGTCTCACCGCCATCCACACTGCCTTCCTGCGCGAGCACAACCGGATCGTCGAGGGACTGCGCGGCGTGAACCCCCACTGGAACGGGGAGCAGCTCTTCCACCATGCTCGCAAGATCGTTAGCGCCCAGGTGCAGCACATTGTCTTCAACGAGTTCCTGCCCCGCATCCTCAGCTGGAATGCCGTCAATCTGTATGGGCTGAAACTGCTGCCCCAAGGCTACTACAAGGACTACAATCCGTCTTGCTCGCCCATTGTGTTCAATGAGTTTGCCGCCGCCGCCTTCCGCATCGGCCACTCCCTGCTCCGTCCGCACATTCCCCGCCTGAGTGTCCAGCACCAGCCGGTGGATCCTCCACTGCTGCTCCGCGATGGCTTCTTCCGGATGGACAACCTACTGCAGCCCGGCATCATCGACGAGATCCTGCGCGGGTTGGTGGCCACGCCCATGGAGACCTTGGATCAGTTCATTACCGGCGAGGTGACCAACCATCTGTTTGAGGACCGCAAGATCCCCTTCTCGGGCATCGATCTAATCGCTCTGAATATCCAGAGAGGTGAGTTTTAGCTGTGATTATTTCTACTTTAAGAATTACAATAATTTATACAATGTTCCGCAGCTCGTGACCACGGTATTCCCTCTTACAATAACTACCGCGCCCTCTGCAACCTCAAACGCGCCACTAACTGGAACGACCTGAGCCGCGAGATCCCCACCGAGGTGATCAACCGCTTCCAGAAGGTCTATGCCAGCGTCGATGACATCGACCTCTTCCCGGGCGCCATGACCGAGCGTCCGCTGCAGGGCGGCCTGGTGGGTCCCACCCTGGCCTGCATCATCGGCATCCAGTTCCGGCAGCTGCGCAAGTGCGATCGCTTCTGGTACGAGAACCAGAACCCGGAGGTCAAGTTCACCGAGGCTCAGCTGGCTGAGATCCGCAAGGTGACCCTGGCCAAGATCGTGTGCGAGAACCTGGAGATTACCGGAGACATGCAGCGAGCTGCCTTCGATTTGCCCAGCAACTTCCTGTGAGTTTAACTTTAGTTCTGTCACCTAATAATTGACCTTTATTGCATTTATTGAATTTAGAATAATATTATTTTAAATCTTATATAATAAATCACTTATTTCTTGATATTCTATCTGCAGGAACCCCCGAGTGCCCTGCGCCTCGATGCCCCAAATTGACCTGAACGCCTGGCGCGAGAATGTCCAGGGCTGCCAAATTGGCAACCGCAACGTCCGCGTGGGAGACTCTGCCTTCCCTTCGCCCTGCACCAGCTGTGTGTGCTCCGCCGATGGGGTAAGTTATCCCAAAAGACTTTTGAGTAATATCTACAGATAAGGAAAGCTCACATTGGGCAGCCGAAATAAACTTACATCGACTCAGCTGTTGATTCTGATCAAGAATATATATGGTTTATAGGGTCGGAAATGATTTCTTCACTGCGTTTTGAGCTTCTGACTGAAATGGAATTCCCTCAAATTTAAATATTTAACTAAAATATAATATGATAATTTTTAGGAAAAGTGAATCTTAAAAATTCAATACCTAAGCCAAAAATGCATTAATTTCAATTCGGAAAGCGTTCCTTTGCTAGTTTTTACAAGCCTAACAAATCTGCATACTGAATCAAAAAAGTTTAAAAATCAACATTTTTGCCAATTTTAACGATGTTACCCCTTATGAAATTTTTAAAATTTGAACATTTAAAAAAAAAAAATCATTTTTGACGGACATAGCTAGATCGATTCAGCTGTTGATTCTGATCAAGAATATATATGATTTATAGGGTTGGAAATGATTTCTTCACTGCGTTTTGAGCTTCTGACTGAAATGGAATTCCCTCAAATTTAAATATTTAACTAAAATATAATATAATAATTTTTAGGAAAAGTGAATCTTAAAAATTCAATAACTAAGCCAAAAATGCTTTAATTTCAATTCGGAAAGCGTTCCTTTGCTAGTTTTTACAAGCCTAACAAATCTGCATTCTCAATTAAAAAAGTTTAAAAATTAAGATTTTTGCCAATTTTAACGAGGTTACCCCTTATGAAATTTTTAAAATTTTGACATTTTTTTTTTTAAAATTCATTTTTGCCGGACATAGCTAGATCGATTCAGCTGTTGATTCTGATCAAGAATATATATTATTTTTATGGTTGGAAATGATTTCTTCACTGCGTTTTGAGCTTCTGATTGAAATGGAATTCCCTCAAATTTAAATATTTAACTAAAATATAATATGATATTTTTTAGGAAAAGTGAATCTTAAAAATTCAATAACTTAGCCAAAAATGCATTAATTTCAATTCGGAAAGCGTTCCTTTGCTAGGTTTTACAAGCCTAACAAATCTGCATTCTCAATTAAAAAAGTTAAAAAATCAAGATTTTTGCCAATTTTAACGATGTTACCCATTATGAAATTTTTAAAATTGGACATTTTTTAAAAAAAAATTCATTTTTGCCGGACATAGCTAGATCGATTCAGCTGTTGATTCTGATCAAGAATATATATTATTTTTATGGTTGGAAATGATTTCTTCACTGCGTTTTGAGCTTCTGATTGAAATGGAATTCCCTCAAATTTAAATATTTAACTAAAATATAATATGATATTTTTTAGGAAAAGTGAATCTTAAAAATTCAATAACTTAGCCAAAAATGCATTAATTTCAATTCGGAAAGCGTTCCTTTGCTAGGTTTTACAAGCCTAACAAATCTGCATTCTCAATTAAAAAAGTTAAAAATTTTAACGATGTTACCCATTATGAAATTTTTAAAATTGGACATTTTTTAAAAAAAATTCATTTTTGCCGGACATAGCTAGATCGATTCAGCTGTTGATTCTGATCAAGAATATATATTATTTTTATGGTTGGAAATGATTTCTTCACTGCGTTTTGAGCTTCTGACTGAAATGGAATTCCCTCAAATTTAAATATTTAACTAAATTATAATATGATATTTTTTAGGAAAAGTGAATCTTAAAAATTCAATAACTTAGCCAAAAATGCATTAATTTCAATTCGGAAAGCGTTCCTTTGCTAGGTTTTACAAGCCTAACAAATCTGCATTCTCAATTAAAAAAGTTAAAAAATCAAGATTTTTGCCAATTTTAACGATGTTACCCATTATGAAATTTTTAAAATTGGACATTTTTAAAAAAAAATTCATTTTTGCCGGACATAGCTAGATCGATTCAGCTGTTGATTCTGATCAAGAATATATATTATTTTTATGGTTGGAAATGATTTCTTCACTGCGTTTTGAGCTTCTGATTGAAATGGAATTCCCTCAAATTTAAATATTTAACTAAAATATAATATGATAATTTTTAGGAAAAGTGAATCTCAAAAATTAATTGCTTTTTTAGCTTCTGACTGAAACTATAATACCGTCAAATAGGTTTGAAAATTTAAATATTTATCTACATTTTTATATGATAATTTTTGCGAAAAGTGAAGCTTAAAAATACTATAACTAAGGCAAAAGGCAAAGGCAACTTAAACTTTTTTCAATGTTAATTTTTACTAATAACTAATATATATTTTCCTTTCCCTATTACCCAGGCCCAGTGCGCCTCACTGCGCATCACCGACTGCGGCCAGCTGATCCGCCAGTGGCCCAAGGAGGCGATCCTACGCGACGAGGTGTGCAACTCACAGTGCGGCATCTACCTGACCGGCCAGCAGGCCAGCGGCTTCAATCCCCAGCAGCGTCAGGGCCAGGCCCAGCCCCGCGTGACCCGATCCCGCAACCAGAACCTCTTCAAGTTCCCCGACCTGACACCCTTCATCGCCTCCCTGTAAACGAAACAGAAATCAGGCTATAACCCATGGATGAGCAGGAACATACGTTTCTTTGATGTTTAATGCTTACCTAAAGACTTGTCCAACGCACGATCGAGATCTTTATTGCTCTCGGTCGAAACTCGAAACTCAACTCTCGGCCCTGTCACCATCAGGCGTTAGCTATCGCCGCCTAGTTAAATTCTGTCTAAGGTTTTCCAAAAAGCCTTTGTAAAGCATAGGATAAGCGATTCCAGACAACTAATAATGCTATATTAAAACTAAACATATCACTGTACGATTACTACATATCGATTTATGTATGTCTAATAAACATTACCATTTAAATAAATGAGTTTTTATTACCGGCATATTCGGATTCCACAGTCACTTGTCTTGTAATCGTAATACGTTGGTTAAGGGGGGAAAGCTGCTGTTTACTACGGAAGAGCAGTAGTAGCGATCAGGAATGGAAAGAGATATCAAACATTTTTTATCGGCAATATGGTTTCCCCCATCGGCCATATTAAAGCGTTGACAACAACTCAGAGGTCAGCGTCGACCTCAGCTGCGTTATGATCCCCCGATACAAGAAATCGAACATTTAAAGAATTTGTACTGCGCAAAGTCAGATTTGGGACCAGATCGCAGTGCAAATTGTTCGCCGGACCCATGTTAAATAACAGGCGAACAGAAAGCAGTAACAGCAGTGCTGACGTCAATGCAAGCCGTATGAAATGCATTGGCTAGAATGGGATAGCTGCTGCATTCACCGGGAGAGCTCTAGCTCGTCGGTTAGGGGGGATAGATGCTGTGTACTCCGGTCAAGCGGTACTTCGATTGTTAGGGGGGGCAGCTGCTGTATACTCCGGGAGAGCTTAAGTTCGTTGGTTAGGGGGGACAGCTGCTGTGCACTCCGAGAGAGCTGAATTCGTTGGTTAGGGGGGACAGCTGCTGTGCACTCCGGGAGAGCTGTATTTTGTCGGTTAGGGGGGGACGGCTGCTGTTTACTTCGGAAGAGCAGTAGTCGCCATAAGGGATGAAAAGAGATATCAAATATCTTTAACAATGATGGCGATCGGCAGTATGGCTTCCCATCTGCCATTATTAAGCGTTCTCTTAAGCTGAGAAGAATTGTGTTCAGCGTCGACCTCTGCTGCGTTATGTTCCCCCGATACAAGAAATCGGACATTTAAAGAATTTGTACTGCGCAAAGTCAGATTTGGGACCAGATCGCAGTGCAAATTGTTCGCCCGACCCATTTCAAATAACAGGCGAACAGAAAGCAGTAACAGCAGTGCTGACGTCAATGCAAGCCGTATGAAATGCATTGGCTAGAATGGGATAGCTGCTGCATTCACCGGGAGAGCTTTAGCTCGTTGGTTAGGGTGGGATAGATGCTGTGTACTCCGGCAAGCGGTACTTTGATTGTTAGGGGGGGACAGCTGCTGTATACTCCGGGAGAGCTTAAGTTCGTCGGTTAGGGGGGGACAGCTGCTGTGAACTCCGAGAGAGCTGAATTCGTTGGTTAGGGGGGGACAGCTGCTGTGCACTCCGGGAGAGCTTTAGTTTGTTGGTTAGGGGGGACGGCTGCTGTTTACTTCGGAAGAGCAGTAGTCGCCATAAGGGATGAAAAGAGATATCAAATATCTTTAACAATGGGTGCGATCGGCAATATGGCTTCCCATCGGCCATTATTAAGCGTTGTCTTAAGCTGAAAAGAATTGTGTTCAGCGTCGACCTTTGCTGCGTTATGATCCCCCGATACATGAAATCAGACATTTAAAGAATTTGTACTGCGCAAAGTCAGATTTGGGACCAGATCGCAGGGCAAATTGTTCGCCAGACCCATGTTAAATAACAGGCGAACAGAAAGCAGTAACAGCAGTGCTGACGTCAATGCAAGCCGTATGAAATGCATTGGCTAGAATGGGATAGCTGCTGCATTCACCGGGAGAGCTTTAGCTCGTCAGTTAGGGGGGATAGATGCTGTGTACTCCGGGCAAGCGGTACTTTGTTTGTTAGGGGGGGACAGCTGCTGTATACTCCGGGAGAGCTTAAGTTCGTCGGTTAGGGGGGGACAGCTGCTGTGCACTCCGAGAGAGCTGAATTCGTTGGTTAGGGGGGGACAGATGCTGTGAACTCCGTGATGGCTTTAGTTTGTTGGTTAGCGGGGGACGGCTGCTGTTTACTTCGGAAGAGCAGTAGTCGCCATAAGGGATGAAAAGAGATATCAAATATCTTTAACAATGATGTCGATCGGCAGTATGGCTTCCCATCGGCCATTATTAAGCGTTGTCTTAAGCTGAGAAGAATTGTGTTCAGCGTCAACCTTTGCTGCGTTATGATCCCCTGGCACATGAAACCAGAAATTGATAAAATTATTTCGAGCACTCGATCCAAACGGTGAGGAATTTTAAACTTGCTATGTTTCTAATATTATACAAAAGAAGTATGGAAGCTATTTTACAAAAATATAAAAAATGTCATAAATTGTAAAAGTAATTCTATACATATAATATAAATTTGATTTACTTGTCAAGAACTTTTGCACTTACTATAAAATAATAGAATACAACTTCTAATTTGGATATTTTTTGTTGCTTTATTTAGTTTTGCCTTTTTTGCGAACGTGGTCCATTTACAGCAAATATTTTGTGTATTTTAGATAGGTTCTCCTCTATAGAATATAATGCCGACAATAAATAACAAAACTCACAAAGTACAATTTAATCTAAAAGACGGATTATTATATGCATTGTATATTATTATATATATTTAGTACGGTATCCGACGAATACATGTACGAGCACACAGAACGTTAGACGTGCTGCTGATCTGCGCCCCGGGATAGTTCCCAACGATGCCCTGAATGTGTGTCCATACATCAGGCCAGCCCAGGAGGCCATCGAGTACACATATATATTTTGGATACGAATACGCTTCTTACTATCGCATAAACATTATTATTACAAATATTTAAATTCGAAAAGAGCGCCGGGAGGGGAAGTTTTAAAGAGCTTAGTGTTTTGTTTTGGGGTGTATTAAGGTTGTTGTAATTACTATGATCTAGGTTCGCGATCGGTTTCGACTTCGATTTCGGTTAAACATCATCACTAAGCGGTTGGTTAATGCTATTAAAGTTAGACTTTTGGTACCCATAGAGATAATTCAACTAACGAATAAAGTTAAACAGTGTGTGCTATACTCGTACTCCCGTCACATATGCATACTTTCCATCCTTGCAATACTTTTTATCCTTGCTGTGATCCTTGCGAAGACAAACGACACGACTCTGCCATTTTTTGGTACAATTCTTTCCCTTCTACCTGCTTAAATAACTAGAGAATTTGACTTCTTTGCTTTATCATTTATCATTTATGATTTAAGACTAAAATACAATACAGACACACACAGATCAAGGATGTATGTACGAATTACGATTTACATAACGTTTATAGGAATCTTTCTATTTAGTTTTAGTTGTAGGCTATCAACTTATGGTATGTGTTTTCCCATTGTTCGATAGATACTGTTGCTCCAAGTGAATGTTTTTATATACAAGATGAGAGTGTGTGAGTGGATAGAACTATATGTACATATATTGAAGATATGCTGATGTGGTCCTGGTCTAAGAACTGTTTTTCAATAACTTTCGGAGCTTTGAAAACATTTTCTCAGATCAGCAGCTGCCCAAAAACATGCCTTGATATTATCTATTGTAATTGCATATGTCTCTGGGCTCAACACACATCAGATTTTGGGATGCATCTATTTGTCGGCCGCCAGTGCCGTGGCCGCGGCCCCATTACTATTGGTCTCCGAGTGACGACGCGCCAGCAAATGATGGTGATGATGATGATGGTGGTGGTGCTGATGCTGGTGCTGGTAACCGCCCCCAAAGGACAACCCGTTCTGACCACCTCCTCCGTTGGCAAAGGTCGGCATTCCATCGAGATTTCCAATTTTGCCCACAATTTTTGGTATCCTATCACTGTCCGTCGCCAGCAGAGGCGTGGCCAGGCTGATTAGCCCGCTGCCGCCTATGCTGGCGCTGCCAATTCCGATCCCCATTCCGATCCCATGATTTTGATTCGAGTGATGATGATGATGATGCGAGTGGCTGTGGCTGTGGCTGTGACTATGACTATGCTGATGCTGATGGTGGTTGATCACGGGCGTGCTCTTGCAAAGGATGCCACCAGACGCGGCGGTTCCATTCTTATGGTCCATCTCCAGTTCCTGGGCGCCCCTCAGAGAGCTGGTCTTCCTCACCTGCAGGCCGCTCCGCGAGTGGTCGCAGCTCTTGCACCGCTGCTTTTGGCCCTGACTTAGAGCCGAGGCCGTATTGGAAGTCTGTCGCTGCAGGGCATTCACCACCAGCTTGGCCTGCAGCGTCTTCGAGGGCGACACTGGAGTGCTATCGTCCTCGCCAGTGGGCGGCGGCGTGGACAGCCTGCTGGAGGCGGTGGAGGAGGAGCAGCTGGAGGAAGGTGAGGAGCTGCAAATGGAGGCCACCTCGTGTCCGTTCTGCTGCTGCTCCGCATCATCATCAACATCATCACGCTCACTGGACTGGGTGCTGGTGAAATGAGAAGCGACGGCAATGTTGTTATTAGTGGAGCTGCTGCTGTGGGCCAAGTTGCCGTTGCCATTTACGCTTGCTTGCTCAGCATCCTCGGGAGCCTCCACTTCCGGCGCTCCGGCCACATTATCGTCACTCGTCATGGCCCTGCAGTCACCGTTCGATATCACAATTTGCTGCTGCTGCTGCTGCTGCGGCTGTTCTTGTTCCTGACTAGTTTTGGTTTTCACAACATCGGCCAAGTCGATCCAATGGCCACGATTATCGCGCACGCCTTCGACAAGCGGCTCCAGCTTGTCCGAGAGAGTGGCAAAGGCCTGACATGATGACAAGAAAGCATTATTAATTATACTTTCCACAGGTAATACACGAAAAACTCACCTCATAGATGGGCAAGCAAATGGAGTCGATGAAATTCACTTGCATCATTGGCAGCTCATCCTCCTTTTCGCGGTTCATGATATCCTTTTTTAAATAGAAGCATAAATATTAATTAAGCTAAATAATATGGGAACAGCCACGAACTCACAATAGGAGTTATGTTGAGCTCCTGCTTCTCCATGTCGCCCTGCTCGAAGAACTCGGAGCTGACCAGGTCGGCCACCCGCTTCTCGATCTCCCACGGCTTCGTGATGGCCGACAAATCACAGACAGTCATGCTCATGGCCCGCAGCAACGCACGCGGCTCCTCGGCCACCCAATGGCTCACCGGCTGCTGGACGCTCTCAAGGAAGGGACCTCGTTTCCTGCAGAAAAATATATTTCGCAAATTATATAATTTTATTTCAGAAAAGAAATGTTATAAAACCCACTTGAAGTACACCGCCAAGTCGGTGGACAAGATGGCATCTTCCAGTACCCTGATGACCCGACAATAGTCATCGGAGGATAGATTGGCCAGTATCTGGTTGCCGGGACTATTCAAGATCATCAGGCACTGATCGAAGTGATGATGCTCCATGGTAGAGGTGGAGTAAAGCTGCGCCAAGGGCGATGAGGCTCTACAAAATTATATGTTTATTAAGTTTATCATTTCATTTATTTAAATATTGCAACTCACTTAATTTGGAAGGAGTTGTTGGTCCCTCGATGGTCGAGATCATGGCAGAGGCAGCCTATTATCAGCGCCAGGCATTCAATTTCCCCAAAGATCTTCCACCATTGCGTGGTCTAGTTAATAAATATGACACAGATATTATAAATATATAATTCTTGGAGTTGAAATTAATAAGTAATACCTACCGTGAGAATGGCAAACATCATTTGGGCCACGTTGAAGGCGTGTCGCCAGTTGTGGTAGGTGACATTGCGATAGTTCTTCTTGACACTCAGTAGCCAGCGGCACAGGACTTCGTAGTCAATGTGAAAGCGTTCCACAAAGTCCAGATCCAGGAACATACGCAGGCACGCCTGGAGTAATTATTTCAATATATTAATTTATAATTATTTATTTAACCAATCATTTGTACCTTAAGTGTATCATCGTCTTCGAAGTGGATGTCATCGAACTTAAAGTCGTGCAAACGGAAGTGGACAGCCGAAGGTACTCGTAGACGCTAAAAATGAAGATGGGGATTTATTAGTAAATTCATTTTAAATATTTACTCAAGAGACTTTGTCAATTAGAATGGTTTTTCTTCTAAAAATCACTTATAAACCACCTCTTAACAAAAAACCCGCACGTGTTCCAAGTCAAAACTTTTCCAAATGGATTAAAAATTATAAAAAAGAGGGACAGAAAAATCCCTCAACTGGACCTTCATCTGTTTGCTGTCAGCGAATGTTAATGGCGTTAAATTAGCCACCAAAGCTGAGAAGTTTATCAACAATTTCTGACGGAAAAAAGGGTTTATTTGCCACAGCCTCCGGATGCATAATCGCGTGTCTCGGTCTCGGTCTCGGTCTCGGTCTCCCTTTTGTGAAGCAAAGCCTAGTGCGGCATAATTTTAATTAAAATTAATAACCCAACATCTTTGTCTGGCTGACAGCCCGACAGGCGGTCATAATTTTCCCAGCATAATTACAGAGTGAGTGTCCGGCGCCGGAGAACAGGGAACTTGTCCGAGTCCCACGATTCCCCTACGTTCTCCAAGTAGAAAAGTTTCCTTTTTTGTCATACTTTTGTGCGAACAAACTAATTACAACTGTCAACACGTTGGCCTTGCAGGAGGGAGGGGACGGGGACTGGGGACTGGGGACTGGGGTTAGTTTAAGGGCTGACAGCTTGTTGCTGCTGCTGTTTCTGCTACTGTCACACAGAAGTAGTGCGGGAATAAAGAGCATGAGGCCGGGGCAGACAATGCAACAGGGAAGTCCAAGTGGACGTGGCAGCTGGAGTGCGGCTCCTCCGCCAGGACACATTAATTTATGGCAGACAACCTCTTGGCCTCTGGCAAATTAAGTGAGTGCAAATAAAATTAAGCATTTCACTGGCCTCCTCCGAAGCAAACGGCACCCGGGAGGGCAATTTAATCTGGACAGGGGACTCACCCGCAGCCGGTGTGCCTCGTCCATGGTGGCGGATGCGTGGTAACTGAGCACCTCCAGGGTGACGCTCTGCTTGGCCATCGCCACGATGGCCTTCTCGTACATGTGCGTGTTGTGAATGCCCATTCCGCAGAAGATGGCGAATGCCTCCACAAAGTTCTCGTCGTTCTTCGTAAAGTCCTACGGGAAACAGATACAAAATTTACTTTAAAATATGTGGACAATTATTTAGTAAAATTATTACAGAGACCATCGAGTGGAATGTGGTGTTGTTGTTTACTTTGAGTACCTACCAACTCGTTGAACTTGTTGATCAGCTGGATGACTCCGATAATCTGTCCCAGGGAGTTCTTGATGGCCATGCACAGGATGGAGCGGTGCTTGAAGCAGGAGCTCTCGTCCACACTCGCGTCGAAGCGATCGTCCTCGTAGGCATTGGGAACATTCACCGTTTCGCCCGTGGTGGCCACGTGGCCAGTGATGCCGATGTTTATGGGAAACCGGGACTCGTACGGACTCGTCCTGGAGGTGGCCTCCTCCTCACTCAGGTCGTTCGCCTCGAAGTCAAAGACCCGCGAGAAGCTGCCCTTGTCCGCCTCGTGGACCAGCAGGATCTGGACGCGCTGGCACTGGATGAGACTCTGCATGTGGGTGAGGATGCGGAAGACCATGTGCTCGATGGTGCTCTGCTCCTCGAAGATCATGCGGGCCAGGTCGAGGAGGACCTGGTTCCGCTTGATTTCCAGTTGAGATTTCTCATACAGCTGCGCGTTCCGCAGTCCAATGCCGCAGAACTGCAGATACGAGGCAAAGACCTGGGGGTGGCAGAGACACAGATGGGACAGAAGAGACGGAAAGGAGGAGAGGATTAGCATTTCATAATAGAGAGCTGGAAAAATGCCACAAAATTATGACATACACCGCACACATGTGTGCCGGGGGGATAATCCCTGATGGCATTTTGCCTGACATTCTGCTAAGCCTTCTTAACAAGAGAAAGACTCTCCTTCCCCTTTGTTGAATAATGAATGCAATTTGCCAAAGGCCGATGCCGCTTCTGCTGCTGCAGCTATATTCGGAACAAAAGAATCCAACCAGCCACGTCATGCGATGCGATGCGATCCCTTCCCCTGCCCAAGCTCCGAGCTCCAGCTCCCCCTCTTCCACTCACCTTTTCATCGATTTCGGAGAAGCACTCGCCATTCATTTTGTTGATGACCTGCGCCACGCCAATCACATCCCCGGACGAGTCCTTGATGGGCATGCACAGCAGGGCCTTCGTCCGATAGCCGGTCAACGAATCAATTTCACAATTGAAGCGCTCATCCTGGGGGGAAATCACAGGGGAAAATTAAATTAATTCGTGCTGGGTTTCGGTTTCGTTGGTTCTACGATGAGTGATTGATTAAGGAAATGTAATTATCTGCCTAAATAACCGCAATCTGCCAAAAGAGACGGTTCATTTCTATATAATATTCTACAGAAATTGTTTATTATTATGGCCCTTTACCCTTGCAGGGAATGATAAATTGTATAAATATAAATACATACATATATCTAAAAGCACCTTTTTTACCCTAGCAGGGTACCATAACCTTAAGAAGAAATCATTTCCGCATTGAAATTAATGCATTTTTGGCTTAGTTATTGATTTTTTAAGATTCACTTTTCTCAAAAATTATCTTTAAAAAATTTATTTAAATATTTAAATTTGAGGGAATTCCATTTCAGTCAGAAGCTAAAAACGCCGTGAAGGAATAATTTCTGACCCTATAAATCATATATATTCTTGATCAGCATTAAAAACTGAATCGATCTAGCTATGTCCGACAAAAAATTAATTTTTTCAAAATTTTGAAAATTATATAAGGGGTTACATCGTTAAAATTGTCAAAAATTTACAAAAAAATGTCTTTTTTTAATTGCAAATTTAGTATGCAGATTTATTAACCGAAGAAAAATAATGATTGGAACACTTTCTGAATTGAAATTAATGCATTTTTGGCTAAGTTATGAGATTTTTAAGCATTGATTTTTCGAATAAATTGTCATATAAAACTATCGGTAAATATTTATAAAAAGAATGTGAATATCTTATGTTTAGTTATTATCAATTTTAAATACAATGCTATTGAATTTAATTCCAAACGGCAACGGTTTACATTTTATTTCAGGCAATTATAATCCCAAAATATTACGTATACGCAATGGTGTAAATATACCCTTTCAGGGTACCTTAATTTTAGTCCGAAGGTTTTAACATTGTGAAAGAGTCATTTCCGACCCTAGAAATCATATATGTTCTTGATCAGCAAAATCGATCTATCCATCTCCGGGAGAAAAAATCATGTTATCCATTTTTTCAAACTTTGATAATAGTTGTATTACAGTTAGTGGCACTATAAAATAGTAAACAAACTATATTCCAAGCCCATTCAAGTGACATATATTTAGGCTAATATTAACCAAGATTATCTGCTCTTCTCTCCCTCGCAGATAATTATTTACAAAGAAAACTTCTTTCTTTTCCCCAGTTCTATTTTAGTCACAGAATTGGCACACATTCCTCCCTCGGACCCAAAACCCAACCCATCTTTTCTTTTCTTTTCTTTGGGTGGGCAAGTTATCAGTTAGCTTAACAGACGCCTCCCGAGATCTGTGGTGTTTGGCCAGCTACTTAGCCAAGTCAAAAGTCCACTGGGATCAACCGAAAGATATGCACTCGAGCGTAACTGAGTGTCTAACCATAATGCGACTCATTCGCACCACGAATCGGGGGCTATAGCTCGGAGTTATCTTGAGTTGGTCCCGCTGTCTGGTACCGGCAAGTGTCAAATTGGGGGCCTTGATTAATTGTGCCAACAATCAGGAGATCTGCGACTGAGAGCGATCTGTCTGTGCGTCACGTATTTGTCGGGGGTTTATCTAAATCTAGAGTCATCAGGGCTTAGTATTTCTAGGGAAAAAACTTTATCACTGAGGAAAAATAGGGGTAACACTTAAACGTTATAACTATGTTTTATAAAAAGACTAACTACTGTAAAGTAAAAATTCATGTACTATATTTCTCCTAACTAAATACGTAAAGTCTTAAGAAATTGCAATTTTCTTCTCTCTGCAATTCGCAAGTCGTAGAAATTGTTATCGTTAACCAAAAAGCTTAAAGACATGCCAGAAAATAAAAAAAACAGAAGCAGAAGCAGAGGAAATAAAAGCATTGGTACTCCACCATATCTTGGTGATATAACATGGCTAACATGGCCTTGTCTTGGCGCAAGATTAATTACGCTCCAATTGGCAGACAGGCCGAAAGGAAAACTGCCGAAAAAATGCTGTGTGTGTGTGTGTGTGTTAGTGTGGGGAAAATGTGAAAAGTGCTGCTGATGCTGCTTCTGTTCCGAGTTCACTGAGCAATATTGAAAACTTAAAGAGCAGCAGCCGCACACACATCGCCATAAATCTTGCAATCGAATGAAAAGCCCTCCCATTTCCACCCTGCCACTATATATATCTCTCTCCCGTGTATATATCTCCAACTCCCCCGACTGAGGTTGATTTATGACCCAGTTGGCATTCAAATTTGTCAAATTTCCCAAAGATACTACAACTGCTGCTAGTACTGACCTGGTAAGCATCTGGTATGTTGACGGGCTCCCCGCTCTCCGCCACATGGCCGGCGATGCCGGTGCCCCAGGCCACCCGGACCTCCTCCTGCTGCTCCATCTCCTCCACGGTACTCCGGGGGCACACGTCGAACAGCTTCGAGACGAGGCATCTGCAATGGGGATGGACAGATGGAAAGCGAGAAGGGAATGAGAGCGGAGTCCAAAGTTGAAAATTATAAATTGTGTTGCACAGGCGGCAACTATCGTCTATTGTCATCCGACACAATGCAAACTTTTTCTGCTCTTCACTGAGGGAAAGCCATGGTATCTATGTTTAAGTGTTATTAAAATTATCCAAGTTCTAGCAAATCAATATAGATAAATTAATATAAAATTATACATTAACATTACTTTATCTTGCTTCTAAAATATAGTATTCCTTTCCTTTGGCTTTTTCAATTACCATCTAAGCTCAATTCATTGATTTCTCAGTGTCTTGGCACCATTTCCTAACCATTTTTTGCTCAGACTTTAAGAGTTTCTAGCAAATAGTATGCATTTGGCATTTGGCGAGTGCGAGTGCGAGTGCGTGTGCAGACAATTGCAATTAGCGTTGGCAGCAGAATGGCGTCATTCGATGCATACGAAATGGCTGACATGCCAACCCCTCCAGGTTCCATTCCGGGGTTATGGCATTTATGAAGGAGCCAGTGCATCCTCATCTACGCAGTGTGTCCTCATAAAATGCCAAAAATAAATGCCATAAAAATGTTGCCAAGACAAAGTTGAAGCCGGGAGGAGCGCATTCACAATGTCCACGAAAATGCAGCTAAATGAAGTCATCAACAAATTGTTGAAAACAGTCCACGAACAGCAGCAACTTGCCTGATTGCTTTATATATGTGCATTGGAGCCAAGTTTACATTAAGAACAAAGGTCCATTTTGGACTGACTGATTCTGACTGATTTATGATAAATGCATCTGCATTATGATTCTATTTATAAACTAAAAAGGACTAAAGGAGAGTCTTGACTTTTCATGAAAGAATATCTAGCATTAATATACATAATGAATTTATATATATAAATATAACTTTTCAAAGATATCTATTTTTTGGCTAAAACTCTTATTTATTAATTTACCTTATGGTTCTTTTTTTGCCTTTGCAGAAAACAGTTAACAAAATTGCCTAACTAAAAATGCAAAGCAGCACAAGATACACAACGAAATTTCATTTAACAAATTCCCAAGCACTTAGCATTATCAAGATAGCTCTTCAAAGGCCGTAAAGATAACTCATGACTCTCCATAACAAAAAAAATGGCCTTTTATTATTTTCCAACTTACTTTTTGAGTCCATCGGGGCCATTGCAGCGTCCTTGGACCAGGAAGAGGGAGCCGCGATCCGCATTCAGCAGGATGGACACATTCTGGAGGATCTTGTGGCACAAGGTGCGCACCTCGAGCTCATTGCAAATATCCTTTACCTGTAAGAGACGATAAACAGCGTTCAATTATTTACCCGACTGATAAGCATTTTTTGCAATTTTCTGCAACTAAGTAGAGGAAAACACTACACACTACCGGACTACATATGAATGACGTCTTTCGAGTGTGTATTGTTTGCCCGATAGCAACGTCAATGAGGTGCCGACACCAAAACCAACAAATATAGGGCTAACAAACGGAGAAACACGTTTGCGGAACTCAATAAATAGATTGAGATTCGCGGCAGAAATCGATTTGATAACTAATTGTAAGGTCTTTCAAGGGAAATTGTACTCATTTCTATAACTAACTTGATTGTTAACTGTAGCCATATATAAATAATATGTAAGCCAAACAACTAAACAACTAAACTACAACATTGTTCTAAATACATTGAGAAAAGGTTTAAGTTAAGATATTTGAAAATCTGATGAACATCCTTGAATCCTTCAACTTCTTTGATATTCAAGCTAAATTAAATGCATCTTAAGTTTAAAAAATCCTTTCCTTAGCCAGTTCTGTTACCCCTTTTACCCACCAGTTCGAAAATCAGCTCCTTCTCGTCCAGCTGTTTAAGCTCGTTCCGCGATAATCGCTGCGGTCGCTGGTGGCAATGATAATATTGATATTGATGGCCGTTCCCAGCCGCCGAGCATGCTGCTCCTCCGCTGCTGCTGCTGCCACCCACTCCGGGTGCAGTGGCTCCTCCTGTGCCGCCGCTTGAGCTGCCCACCGCCCCGCCCGCCTGGAGGTGACTGTGCTGCTGATGGTGGAGGTGCTGCGGATGGTGGTACTGATACTGTCCGGCCACGACGCCCCCCACATTCTGGAGATTGCCGCAGCTACCGCCCACGCCACCATTGTCCATCGGCGACAGTCCGATGCTCAGGAAGGTTGGTGTTCCGTCGATGGTGTTCACTATGGGCTTTAGCAGGCCACCTCGCTCGAACTCGTGAGCGGAGATTTTTCTAGAAATTACAAAACAAAACATAAATTACAGAAGAACAATTTAAAATAAATTTGAGTTAAATGTGAGGTCCAAGCGTAAACTTCAATGATATACAAGCTTCGGCGTGCCCTTTGTGGTTTAAATTTCTAAATATTACGTATACGCACTGGTGTAATTATACCCTTTTAGGGTACCACAATTCTAGTCAGAAGCTTGTAACATAGTAAAGGAATCATTTCCGACCCTATAAATCTATTATATTATCTATTATATTCTTGATCAGCATAAAAAGCTGAATCAATCAAGCTATGTTCGGCGGAATTTTTTTTTCAGAATTTTGAAAACTTTATAAGATTGAAAAATATTTGAATTTATTAAAATGTAAAATTGAGTATACAGATTTATTACCCTTATAAAAACTAACATGGGAAAGCTTTCCGGATTAATGATTCTTTGGGTTAGTTATGGGATATTTCTTTGAGATATTTGGTATATGACCTTTCCCATTTTGAAAATCAAAATATTACAAATTGTAAACTGTTATGAACTTTAAGTAAGATTAATTCTGTACTCTTCGTGCTTATTTTTTAAATGTATAATTAATGTATACATTCTTAACAGTAATTATCTTACAGAAAACAGAACCAAAACCTAATTTACTTTGCAGCTGCAGTTAATTTCCAACTTGTCTATAAACTATGTATGTAGTCTAATTATGTCCGACATCTATCGGGATTAAGACCATCGATATTCGATTGGGTACTTACCGCACAGGTGTGGTGGCTCCGGAACCGCCCCGCGAGGAGCTCGTCTGTCCATTGGGATGCGTGGGCGAGGTGCTGCAGACCACATCGTTGCCCGCGGAGGTGGCATGCGAGACCAGCCAGGCGTCCACCGTCTGCCTTGTGGCTTTTCTGTGGAAAAACGATGGAAGGGGGCAATGAATGCCAATGCAGCTGCTGACTGATGAGATTCGGATTCGCGCATTAAAGTCTTATTAAAAAACGCAAAAAATAAGAGAGGCAAATGAGCACGCGCTCCGTCTCTATGTGCGTATGTGCCGCATAAAGTGGTATAATAAAATGCCAGCTCATAAATATTCAGGGGCTGACGCCTCGTCCTCGGCCAGCATGTGTCCTTATGGACACGCGCTTGTGGCATAAAACCCCAACTCCCCCAGAAATCACAGCTCACAACTCTTTGGGAGAATCGAGAGTCGATAGTCGTGGTAGCTAAAGATTAGGCTTAAATTCTCTGATACCCTTTTAAAACTTGTTCTTGGGTTCAACTATATTCTTTTAGATTTTGCTAAGCTTCTATATTCCGAGCAATTAAAGTAATTAAATAAAAAGTGCTGTTAAATCAAATAAATATATATATATATATGCAAATATATTTATTAAGCAACAAAAAGCCTTTTCAGCTGGCCAAAACTAAAAAACTTGCTCTCTAAGGACATACTACGAACAGAGGCTATTCGTATAACGCTTTAGGACATGCGGCATATTCTTATGCAAAGTACACACAAACACACACACACAACAGAAGGCTGATGGCCTGGTTTAATGACCGCCCCGCAGGACGAAGGACGAAGGGCAGGACCAGGCCCATGGGCCTGCTCGACCATGAAAATAAAGCCCAATTTATGCTTTTAGTTGTTAGTGATTTTTATTATGTGTCATAGACAACCGCCCCTCTGCAGCCTCTGACCCCGCTCGGCCTGCTCGATGTCCTGCTGCGGCAAAGGCAATTTCCGGTTTATAGCGGAAACGAGCTGTCCCAGGCCCAGGGCCAAGTCCGAAGCCCCCCCAGTCCCTCCAGCCCCACTAAGGCCACATTATACATATGTCCGGGTCAGACGACTGACGACAATGCAGTTTCAAATTTAAGAATTGATCCGTTCGATGGGTAAAATAGATTATTGGATCGATGGGTTCATCGAGCAACGCCTCATGGCAGATGCAATTTATGGTTTTACCAGGACGAGCCCTTAGCCTCTGTCCTGCCTAATGAAAAGGGTATTGTGTGGGGTCAGTTGGGAGCAAGGTGCTTTAAGGTTGGTCTTGACATGAAGAAGGCTTTAAGTTTCGGGTATGCTGAATAGATTTCCCCAGTTTTTGCTGGCCTCCTACTCACCTTATAAAATAATCCTGTACAAATTCCTGATTCTCGTCCAGCCAGGCCTCCATCCTCGCATGCTCCGGATCGTAGGGGCGGCTGTGCTGCGGCGAGGCTGGCTGGTGGTGATAGTGGTGGTGCTGGTACTGGTACTGGGACTGGTACTGATGCATCTGCTGCTGCTGCAGCGGATATGCCGACTGCTGCTGCGGGAATAGCGCCTGCTGCTGGGCGCCAGTGGATGCGGCTGCTCCAGAGGATGGGGGAACCGATCCCTGCGATCCTGTGTGATTCAGCGGCTGGTAGTGGGCGGGTAGTGGCTGCTGGTGGGCAAGGGGCAGGGGGACACCGGTGTGACGGGTGGCCAGCAGCAGCGAGTGCTCACTGTATCCCCCGCCATAGCCCGGGCCCCCCTGCTCTGTGTTCATTCTGCTGGCGGCCGCCGCAGCCGCTGCCGCCTGGAACTGGAGCGGCGTCGACGCGGGCTCCTCGATGCTCCGCAGATGCAGGCCTGCAATGGGAGGAGAGTAATGGAAACATGAATACTTAATCCGCAATGTCCTGGAGTTTAAAATTTGTTATTCGTTATTTTATGGCGCCTCGTACACTTTAGAAAGAAGTGTAGCAGCTTGAGAAATATATAAGTTAAGCTTTCATTAAAATAAAAGAGTATATATTGTATTTAAGAATTGTTAATAATATCTTATGTTGCAAGATATTATGTTAGCATATTCCTATATAGATTTATTTATGATCACATTCGAGTTGAGAATCCTTTTTTCGGGGTGTGTAATTTGCTTGCGCTGCATGTGCTGACAGTTTTATGAGCGTTTCGCTCTTTTTTTCCCCAACATTTGCATTGCAAATGGGTCATATCCTTTAAGAGTAAGTCACACTTGGAACGTGACGCCCCGTGGTATTATTTTTTCCTCGTCGCTCTTTGCGCTCCTGCCGCTTTTCCGCTGTTTTCCTATTCAATTTCAAACAATTTCGAGTTCGCAAGCAAATCACATAAATTTGTTCAATTGCTTTTTCAGCTCATCAATTTCGGGCGTTGGGTGTCGTTCGCTTTCGAACAATTAAGTGTCAAGGAGCGAGTTTTAAGGGAAGTGACACCAAGTGACACACAAGCTGCCTGGCATACGCGGCGTATACGTAATAAATAACACTGACTGCCGGGGGTCGGGGAGGCCCCCAAAAGTGTTTCAGTTAACATTAACCGGAAATATTGGCAATTTCCTTGAAATATTGACTCGGGGAGTGTGTGAAAATGTGTGTGTGTGCAGCACACACCCTAGTGTCTGGTGGTGTCTGTAATGGCAGCAGCATTGAGCGCCTGATTAAGTGCTAAAAATAGATATAAATACGACAACGAGTGTAAGTCACTGATGAATGTCTCAAGGATACAAAAGGAGGTGGTCCTTCCTGCCCGCCTCCTTCCTCACCCCCCCCCCCCCTCGTCTGGCTTATTTATTCTCTGGAAAATATGATTTATGTGCTACTTTTGTAGCCCCGGACCCAGGGAAGCACACAAAAGAAATAAACAAACGACTTGTTCCTGTCACTTGACAATTCGACTTTCGGGTTAAGCTCGCCAACTCGCAACAAAAGCCAAGGATATTTGCTTAAATATATGTATATGCGAAGGAGTTTCTATATTCAGGCAAATTAGATAGGGAAATATTTGCTGACTGACTGTGTTTTCGGAATATTTAAATGGAGAGTGACAATTCCTGATGGCAACACAAATTTTACTGATTAACTTTAATGAGGCAAGCACTTTTGTCTAAAAAGCTAACATTAAATGTGGTTTGGTTACTTTTAATATTATATTTCGCTTTACTTTCCTTCTTAAATTGGCTCTTAGATAAAGTCATTAACTTGATTAATTTGATTTTTGTTTCTATTAAAATTGTATAGAAATGTTATATAGTCGGCTGTTAGGAGGAATTGCCTTGGGGGAGCATTTCTTGCGATTCCCCGTTTAAAAATTCACTTTAGTATTAATTTCCAGCATTGGCCCTCACGAGGAATTTCCCTGAACAGACATAAATTTTCATGTAAAGCTGCTAAGAGGGAGCGCTCTTTCCACTGGTCCTTTCCTCTTAAGCTTGCCAATAAGTTGAAAGTTGGGCTACTTACAGCCCTGCGGTGGGAAATATCCTTATATGCGGAATATATATGGTTGTGTGTTTGGGGAATTTAATCTTTTAAGCTGCATCTGCCTTGCACACATCCAACATGCAACATGCTAAAGCTGCTGCAAAAACACTCTCCTCCTTGTCATTCCCCTGGCATTCCTTTGGCCATTTCCTGCACTCGAAGTCAACTGGCAAGTCGACAGTGTGTCGCACACCCATCTCTACACCTCATACACCTCCTACACCTTCCTGTTCTCCGACACTTTGCTGCGGTTTGATGCGTCAGCTTTATGTAAGACACTCATATGGGGGCCGCCCCAGAACCCAAACCCATTTCCCAAAATCCCATTCGGTCTGAGACTGAGTCAGGCGAGTGGCGAAACATTTTTATTCAGCATTTGCAACGGAATTTTACTTTACTCTTAGCAGGAAATCATAAAAGCAGGCAGCTTTGGCTTGGCATATGAAAACTATCTCAATACTCTGCTAAAAGAATTCATTTAACAAGTTTAATTATTATTAATATTGCGGAAAGTAAGCTGGTAGTTTCTCCTGTCATGTATGTTTGCCTTGGACGAGGTAAAAAGTATTTTCAGAGCTATTAAAATATTATTTATTGCAAATTACCATATATAAAACGTAATATTACCCAATAAACCAATCTTAATAGAACTTGTGTAATTATCAACACCCTTATTGAGTGTATACCAGCTACACACACACAACATGAACATGAGTTTCAATGGCATTGTGGCTGTTGTTGCTACTGAGTGCAGCCAAATGCAAATTGAAAGTTGGCCAAATGTGCGGAAAAAGAGACCAATTTTGTTGTGTATATATATTATTTTCCTCTCGTATTTTTCGGATCGATTTTGAGAAGTTGCTGAGAGCCGGAAATCGGAAAAGGGCAGGGTAAATCTCTTGAGCTGTGTGGTTTTCCCGGTTCTTTGGTTCTTTGGTATTTTCTTTTCTTTTGGTGACTGAAGTTTGAAGACAAAATATTTATGCAAATTTTCGAGGGAGCAAATGTCTGGCTAAACCCTTTTTCTTTTCTTTCCCAAAACTGAGTTTCCATTTTTCTCACCTGTTGTTGCTGATGCTGCTGCGGGAATTATTTCCGAATGATGCTGTATTTGTGGACTGTGGCTGGGTGTTGTATTTGTTATTATTGGTTGTTGTTGTTGCTGCTGCTGCTGCTGATTTTGTTGTTGTTGTTGTTGCTTACTATTTTTATTCTTATTTTTGTAACGACAACCACGAAATCGACACATACTTGCCGCTTGGCCCATGGGGCCCGCCAGCAATGCAAATGTTAGACCCTCCGTTTTAATGAATTGAATCTTGTCAATTTTGAGCAATGCGGCCGCGTTACGTAAATTGTATTTCCTGCTGGCTGCTGTTCTTGAAGTTTTGGAATCAATTTTGTTGGTTTTCGAACTGCCGCCGAATGGCCGCAGGATGTCGTCGGCATAAGTGAATAATGCAGAATTCGTATAATTTGTACACTTTGCTCCCGAACACTCGTCGCGCTCGGTTTCACTTTCATAATAACTTATTTGCCTTTTAGTCAATTATTTAGGGGCTGGAATACTGCTGACAGGGGTAGTACCTGTTGTTGGTTTATTTGAAATTACATTTTCTGTGTGTGCGGTGGGTGTGTGTGCTCAGGGTTCACGTGTGTTGAAGAGGGAAAACTTTGCAGACGAGAAAGTTCTTCGGGACAACTAAATATGTTTATTCCGGAGTGTAACTTGAGGGTTTCCTTAAAAATACTGCGGTTCATCTTTACAGTGAAGTCACTGAGACAGTGAACTTTGTATTATATAACTATGAAACTTTAACTTTACAGAATATTTAAGCAAATAGACATATAAATGTTACTGCACCCCCAAATTCTCTCATACAAAAAGTGAATGTTATAAGCTTTTTCTTGCAGATTAATCTCCCCGTAGCTCACATAATTTACCTTAATCCAACTTTCCTAGTCAGTTTTTAAAGCTTCACGCTGACGATTGTTTTTCCCATGTGGTTTTCCCACACACACACACACTGATAGAGAGAGAGGCAATTCAATTAACGCTTTTGGGGTCGCCAACAGTCAACTGCCCGAGACATCGAGGAGGTCGAGGGTGGAGGGGCAGGACAACAGACAGGCCGCCAATTGATAAACAAACAAGACTCCGAAATGTCGCTGGAAATTCGATGACAGAGCGAGCAAGTGGAGGAAATGGGGCGGAGAGACACAGACATTGACGATACCTGCACACGTAGGCCATGGTAAAATGCCAGTTAAGTAAAATAAACATGGCCAAAAGCGACTCCCATCGCTGGAACGTCAACAGTGCTCAACAAAAGCCAAAGGCAAACAATTGCAGGACAAAAACGATGAAGAGGAGGCAGGAGGGGGAGGGCAAGGAGAGGAGAGAGATGCCCAAAAAGGACGATACTCGGAAAGGATTGTTGTGGCTTGTGGTCGAGCAGATTTCTATTGAGAGCAAGGTATTTACAAATTAATTGAAAAAGCTCTTTAAATAATTTGTTTATTTATGTTATGTAGTTTATACAATACAAAGGAATGCTGCAATATTTGTATTTATTCAAGGAAGCGGTACAAAATAAAATGTACTTTGATGAGTTATTGTTGCAAGCTTCTCAGCAGGATTTAAATCACTCAGGTTTAAAATGTTGAATAAATTCAATGTAGCTCCCTAATAATGATTGTAAATACTTTATTTTTACAGCATACAATGTTTTATCAAATTATTAATTCACTAATTCAAAATTATCCTTATTTTCTTAGAATTTCCATAAAAGTTGTTTCCAAAAATTTGTTGTCCTTTGGCCACCAATCCTCTCATAGTTTCTTCCCCCTCTCCGCTTTTCCCCTTAAACTGTTTGACAATTTTTCCTATTGAACCAGCGAGTGCAACTTGCCATCAACAAAAACAGATCCACGCCGATTTGGTTTCACTATCTCTCGGCGCACTTCCCTTTCATTTGACAGCTGTTGCACATCATGACAGCGATAGTTGGCAGCGGAAATGATTTAATTTCCGTTCTGCAACAATGAAAAAGCACCGCTCGCTGCGTTTGGCAGCAACATAGTGTATATACATATCTATACAAAGCTATATAAACTGAATGGTAGCGCGTAAAGTGAACTCAAGCGAGGTGAAGTGAAGGCTCTTTCAAAAAGGATTTCACAATCTGCAACTGAAACTGTATTTCTGGTTTTGTGTTTACAGAGAAGAAGGAACATAAATAATTCTTTTAGGTTGCAACTATAATCACAATTTGAATCCTAGTAAATATTTCCCAACTGAACTTCTGCTTAAATTCTTAATTCTATGGTATTTATTGTTAATTCAGTATCTGATTTGGTATTGCTCATACGCACTGTTGTCTGGCCATTACCCATACGCACCGTTGTCATTACTCCTATCTCTGCTCTTTTCTCTCTCTCTCTCTCTCTCTCTCTCTCTCTCTCTGTTGTTTTGTTGCCATCCTTTTGCATTTCTATCTTTGTACACCTAGCAACTGGTAGCCAAAAAGAGAGAGACAAAGGAGAGGGGCAAAAACTATTTTTATATATAGCAGAAAGTGCTCCTCTCGCGCAGACAGACATCGGTGGCTTACATTATGTCAATAGGATAGGTGAAAGGGGACAGGGCAGGGAGGAGGGTCAGTCTGGATAAGCAAACGATGTTCATTAATGGCACACGCCACACACACACTGATACAGAGGGAGAAAAATCAGTCACTATATACATATATATATACACAAGAAAACTAGTAAATAAATTCAAATTCAATAAGAAGGAGTTTTAGGTCAATTAATCTTTCTAAGAAATATATATACATTTTAGACATGATTAAAAGCTTGAATAAAACATTAGTATTAGCTTTCTGCGAGTGCACAATTTGTGCGAAAACTCAATTCGTTTTGCTTGGTCTGCATTTGGCTGACACCGTTGATAGTGGCACAAAAGGCGGGCCAGATAACAGATAACAAAGCCATATACATGGCACACACAATATGCATGTAGCTGTGTGAGTGGGTGGCAAATGCAAACAAGGGGGCAGAATGGCGTAAGCCAAGGAAAAGCGGGAAAAACTGTCATTAGGCGGCGGCATTTGGCGCGTCATGAACTACTAGCCAGCGTCGATTAGGGCCGCAAGGACCAAGGACTCTGGCTATTTGCATTCTGGAAAATGCTCCGGCAATTGCCAGAGGCTTGGATCAATAACCTGTTGCTACCAAGGGAGCTATACTGTGTATATATTTGTATATATAGAGGGCATCTCTCAAATATCATTCCCTTTTAGCATTTGCCTGTGAATTATGTTACGCCGCGAGAAAAGCCAGCCGCCAAACTTGTCCCACATAACGCGAAAAACAAAAGGTGATAAAAATACAGAGAGAAAGAGAGAGGCAGAGAGAGAGAAAGAGCCATTTAAATTAAATAAATAAATAAAACTCATTATCACATGTGGCTCGTGCATTCAATTATATTATCAACTTGGCAAATTAACTTGGCAGAAAGAGCACAAAAAGGAGGTTCAGTTGGTTTGTGAAAGGGCTAAAAGACAAGCCACAATTTTGATATAATAAATATATATTATCAAACAGAAACTCAGTTTTAAATGTCAGAAACAACTAGCCAGCTATAAAGAGGGAAATTAAATAACTATTCCCTTTTATTATTGGCAGTTAATACATGTGAATATATATTGTAACTGTGGCAGGGTCAGAGGCAAAATTTATCCAAATGGCAGCCATAAACGATTCTCATTTGTCTGGCGGCCAAAAAGGCAAAACTCTGTGGAGCGAATATGGCGAAACATTAATATTAAACAACTCGTGGGATCAACTATTGCGCCGCAGCTAAACTTTAATAGTTTCCAACACAAAAGTATTATGGAAAATAGTTAAAAATGCGATAAAGAATAGCATTTAATTGGAAATAAACAAGCTTATGTTGCCTTAAGTAAATGACAAGCTTTAACAATTTTTGTTAAGAAAGGAAATCGATAATTTTAATTACATTTAAATCATTTTCATTAAAGTTTGGAAAAAGAATAATAACATAATAATACATTACTTATTATAATATTCATAAAGTTTTCTTTTATATTTTAAAATGCAAGTTTTCGCATAAAGTATAATTATGGTTTAAAGATAATGATAGAGCAGACTTGTGGAATATATATACAACAATTCCTTAGCAATTGCTGCCGACCTTGCTAGCATTTTATATAATTTTTTAAGACCTCTTTCTCATCTTATTAATTCCAACTTCTAAGCTTTCGACTTTGGTAATGGCCTTAGCAAAATTAAACAAATTGCATGTGGCGTTAACGAACGAGAATGGCTTTAATTAAAGTCGACTTTTATGACTCGAATGCAAGTGCTATTTACTTTCGCGCCTCTCGCATTTTTATGGCTAAGCGTTGGGCATTAAAGACCACGAGGCGTATACGCAACTTTCCACGCGCAATCCTCTGGCGGGAAGAAGTTCGACTCCCCAACAGCGTATCGCATTTCCAATTTGAACGCATCCGCAGACACGAAAAGAAGACGGGAAAATGCTGGGAAAATGCTGTCAGCTACTTGAGTAAGATTTTCAATTTACTTTCACCAACAACGGACACCCTTTAGTCGCCGTCGCCGTCGCCGCTCCCCCTTCAGTTGGTTAGATGAAGAAATATTGAAATTGTAGAAGGCGAAAGGCGTCGCCGGTTAGTTCTTATCATAAATCTCGTTTGCCTCTTTGCGGCTAACTTATTACACACTTTTTTCCACCCGGATTGTGTAACTTTTCTTAATAAAAAATATGACAATTTGTTAACAGACGAAGGAGAACCACTTCAAAGCTTGGCGCTTTCCAGGAATTTAATTTCATTTTCCGGCTACCGCCTGAGGAGTTGTTGTCTGGCAGGAAAGTGAGTGCACAGCCAGCTCACGCCTTGCCTGTGTCTTTCTTTATCAATTACCTGAAGTAACCTACGTGAGACGTTGGCTAAATATTTGCACGGGTCTTAATTTAATAGCCGAAAAGACCAGCCAGGACTTTTGGTCTAAAAATAAATTATAAACAAACATTGTGTGTTGCCTCTTTGCATCTTTATGCCCCTTGGCACTGCTCCTGCTCCTCCTCCTCCGTCCCATATGTTCCCCCGTTTGTTTGAGTTATCATTATGACATGCTCGAAATTACCAATGACAAACGTGCCTCGAATGGCCAAAAAGGCCACATCCCGGCTTATCCTATAAGCCAGTTATGCAGAGTGAAAAAATATCTGTCAGTCTTGGGGCTAATTTAATGAAACTAAGTATGATTT